TTATGGCTAGTTGAGGCCCAGCTACCAAGAACTCGCAAAAAATGTCCTCTTCATTATGGTCTACTTCACAGAGTTATGAAATGAATCTGCCAATTGTCTAGTTCATTTGAGTATTTCTTTTTTTGGGGGGGGTCTTTTTGAGATAGGGTCTCTCTGTAGCCCCAGCAGGCCTAGAACTCACTGTGTAGACCAGGCTGGCCTTGAACTCACAGAGACCCATCTGCTTCTGGCTCTAGAGTACTGGGATTAAAGGCGTGAGCTACCACACCCAGCTCATTTGAGTATTATAAATTTTAAGTACCTGCTAAATGTTCAAACAAAACAAAACACCACCAAAACAGCTATAAAAGTTTAGGGGCAGGTAGGAGATGTAGCTCAGTTGGTAGAATGCTTACCTAGCATGTATAATCATGTTCAGTCCCCAGCACCACATAAAACAAGTATTTGGTACACACCTGTAATCCCAGCACTCAGGAGGTTGAGGCAAGAGGACCAAAGTCAGGGTCATCCTTGGCTACATAGCAAGTTTTAGTACAGTCTAGAACACATGACACCCTGTCTGAAAAAAAGAAAAAAAAGTAAAGAGGTGGGGAAATGGTGCAGTGGGAAAGAGTACTCTGAAAGCATGAGGACCTGAGTTCAAATCCTTAATACCCACATAAAAGCTGGGCCATGAGGGCCTGTAAACCTCAGTGCTACAGGAGTGAGGTGGTGATGGGGGGTGATGATAGAGACAGACAGATCCCAGGAGCTGATGGTCAGCCAGCCTAGTTAAAATGGTGGATTTCAACAGCGAGAGAGACTCTGTCTCAAGGAACCATTGTAGAGTGATAAGAAGACACTTGATACCATCCTCTGGCCTCCACTTGTGCCAACATTTGTGCATGTACCTGAACACATATGTGTGTACATGCATATAGCGCACACACTACAAACCACACACACACACACACACATACACACACACACACACACACTAAAAACAGTATATAAAAAGAAAAAGTTTAGGGGTAAGGTGTGTGTGTGTGTGTGTGTGTGCAGGTCAGAGGTTGATGTGGGCTATCATTCCTCAGGTACCTTCTACCTTATTTATTTATTTTTTGGTCTTTTTGAGACAGGGTCTCCCAGTAGCCCCAGCTGGCCTGGAACTCTCAGAGATCTGCTTGCCTCTGCCTCCTGAGTGCTGGGATTAAAGGTGTGTGCCACCACACCTGGCTTGACCACCTTATTTTTTTGAGACAAGGTCTCTCACTGAGTCTGGAGTTCACAATTTGGTTAGCCTGGCTGGCTAGTCAACCCCAGGAATTTTCTTGTTTTCCCCTCCCCATCGCTGGGATTGCAGGTGTACAATCCCACACTTAGGTTTTTATGTGGGTACTAGGGAGCTAACTCAGATACAATGATCCTGTCACGTACCCCAAAACTCCTCTGCTGGCTCTGGAGCATGTTCTAAATGCTTGTTTGTAAAATTCTTCAGAGCCTGGCTTCAAGTGAATCTTGCTACTTTGCTGGGTCATTACCAGCTGAGCTAAACTGGCCACACAATTTCTTTTCTGTTGGGGTTGTGCTTTCTCAGCTGCTCATGCCCCCCTTGTTTGAGACGGCCCTCTGTGGCTTGTTACATGTCACCCTGAATGTTGTCTGAAAACCCCTTTGTCCTCACCAGCCATCCACTTCAGAAATGGTAGTGTTGTTTTGAGACAGGGTTTGGGATGCCATATAGAATAAAGCTATGATTGTGTGAAAGACCAGAGGAGGATAAGCAGCTAATACAAACATCAAGAGGACCTAAGCACATGCTGTACCAGGGGAGAAAATGGGACAATGCCTTGTTGAGGCAGCTTTGTTCTGAGGACTGCATACTCACATGCAGTCCTGACAGTCTTGTTGGTAGGTTTACAGCGTTCCCATTTGACAAAGCTACTAAAGTGTGGGGCTCAAGGCCCTATTTCCCAATAGGTGCCAGGCTACATGCCTACCATTCTTTGTGGATGGGGAAGGCCCCATGCACTTGTATACACAAAACCCAGCTTTTGCTCCATTGGGAAAGAGATTATTCTGAGCCAAATATGAGTGACCACAGCCCAGGAACTTGGGTTCAGCGTGCTTTGAATGACATGTTTTACTATGGAAGTTTTAAGTGATTTTTTTTATAGTCACAGAACAAGAGAAGGTCATAAATCAATGTGTTTACCAAATATATTAGTGGGGGCATCAGGAAGGCAGGTTATAGGAAAGGGGTGTACATTTCTGCTCTAGGGTTTCAGATGCTCTTTGATGACAGTTTTAGCTTGTGGAAGCTAGTGGTCTGCTAAGTTAATACAGTCTAAAGATTTTTACCTGACAGTCAAAAAAGGCTATTTGGTCAGATACAGAGGTTGGTAATAAATGGCTATTAAGAGGACTCCAGACAAAGTTAATTTTGGCTCTCAATCTGTAATATTCCAACTTTTATAGTGCAAAGTTCTAATCAATTAGTGTACAGATTCTTTAACACAGATACAGCTTTTCCAGGGAAGTGCAGTTCAAAGATATTTTGGGGTTGTAGTGACACACTAGGGACTACTCACAACCCCTTGCTCAGAACTCTGCCCTAGCAATCCAAGTTTCCCTCCATAAATCCAATCAAGACCACAACTTTTTGCTCTGATAAACATCACATGTTTCTTCCCCACCACTTGCTGCTTTCAGTAGATGCACAGTCACATGCTCTGGGACTTAATTATTTCAGTGACAATTTCTCACTACAAGGAACACTGAGATGCAAGAGGAAATGGTGAATATGAACAGGCAGGCCTGGGCTAAAAATGAATGGTGGAAACTTTCTACCAAAAATATTTTCTGTAGTTTGTTTTCTTTAGTTTTGATGACTACCCTCTAGATCATTGTGGCCAGATGCCTCTGACAGACCAGGAAATTGGGAAGTAAATAAAGAAACTTTCATATGGCCTTTTAGGAATTCTGGTTCTCTTCTCTTCCCTCTCTTCCTCTCTTTCTCCCTCTCTCCCTCCCTCCTTCCTTCCCTCTTTTGCTCCTGTCTTTCGTTCTTTCCTTCTTTCTCTCAATCCCTCCCACCCAGTAGAAGCATAGAAAGGTGGCATTCTGACTCAAATTAAAAAAATGGAGTTTGGAATGAAGCATATTTATTCAAGACTATTCTGTGATTGTTATTTCATAAAAATAGTAAAGAAAGTTGGGCATGGTAGCGCACACCTTTAATCCCAGCTCAGAGGCAGAGGCAGGCGTATCTCTGTGAATTCAAGGCCAGCCTGGTCTAGTAGCGAGTTCTGAGGCCAGCTAGGGCTACAGGGAAACCCTGTCTCAAAAATACAAACAACAACAACAAAAAAGTTGGAATATTACAGATTGAGAGCCAAAATTATCTTTGACTATCTTGTATCCTTTAAATAACCATTTATTATCAACCTCTGTATCTGACCTAATAGCCTTTTTTGACTGTCAGGTAAAATCTTTAGACTTCTACCAGCTGAGCTATGTCATTGGACCCCCCCCCCGTGGAATTTTTTAAAAAATATTTTATTTATTATTTTTATGTGTATGTGTGTATTGCCTACATGTAGGTAAGTGCACCCATGTCATGCAATGCTTACGGAGGTCAGAAGGCTGTTGGATCCCCCAAGACTGTAGTTACAGACAGCTGTTAGCTGCCATATGGGTGCCGGGATTCAAAGCCGGGTTTTCTGCAAGAACAACCAGTGTTCTTAACCACGGAGCCATCTCTCCAGCCCCATAGGCAGCTTTTGAATACAAAAGGAGTGGCAATTTTTTCCAACTCAGAGGACCAGACCTCAGCATTCCTGCAAGGTAGAGGCAGCATTTGAAATTGTTGCCTGTGCCCTCTCAATCCTATATTTCCCAACCAAGGTAGACCCCTGTGAAAGAGATAAAAGACAATAGCTACAGGACTAAGGGTCCAACCCTTTGGATTATACAAGAAAAAGTCAGGTTTATTGACACTAGATTATTGTCAGGTATTTTGGGTCGGCTTCAACTCTGCATTCTCCCTTGTTTTGTTTTTAGAGAAAACAGTGCGGCAGATAGAGCCCTTTGTGAACCCCAATGTCAAGATCTGTCACTATTTTTTAGCAGGCAAAACTGTGCAAACCTAAGGAGTTGGGGAATGGGGTGAAAAGGTTTCCACAGCAAGTCACAGTACTCGTGTCTTTGCTAGAAGGGCGAATGACCCTCTACTTGGCCTTAGAAACAGACGCTCCAGGGATAAGTAAGCGGATAAAAGAGAATGTACATTCCAAAGATTGAAAGTAAAGCCGTGACTATCTCCACCACGCCAGTAAATAAAAATTGAGAATCCAGCTCGGCCCAAGGCCAGGAGAGGAAGCATAAATGTGTCAAAAATAACACGAAACTCACTGTTCTTGCAGAAGGCTGTTTGGCTAAGTGTGAGCTTAAGGGCCATAAATCATTTGTAGCACACTCTATTTACAGATGCTCACGCTTCTGAGGTTTTACCTTACATAAACCCAGCTTAGCTCAGAAGACAGTATAGGGACCTTAGAATGGATTTGCAGAAAATCCTACACTGCCTCTTTTTTGTTTTTTAGACAGGGTCTCACTGTGTAACCCTGACTGGCGTAGAATTCACTAGGCAGACCCAGCTGGCCTGGAACTCACAGAGATCCACCTGCCTCTGCCCGCAGAGTCCTGCCCACCCCTCTTCTATTTTAGGTTCCCCACCGGAAGTTCTTCAGCTCCTCTGAGCCACATAACCCTTCATGTTACTATAATATACACCTTAATTTGATTTTGAGTTCTTTCTGCACGTGTCTTAGGGGTAGGAGACGCTGACTCACAAGCATGCCGCCCCCAACACCCTTAGTCGCAATGCTACAGTCTTTGCGAGCACTTCCTGCCGCGCGGTAGGCGGGGAAGACGGGCGGAGCTACCGCCTCCATCAAGCCCCGCCCCACCCCGCCCTCGATGGCCCCGCCCCCTCCCTGACTGCCAAGGCACCGCGGGGGCGGGGCCTCGAGCGGTGGGTGGGCGGCGTGGCGCTGCGGGCTGGGCGCTGGGGCCAAGGTACCGGGTAAGGCGGCGGGTTCTCGTGCGGAGCAGCGGCTGGGGAAAGCCCAGCGTCGCACGCAGGAGGAGGACCGGGAGGCGGTGGTTCCCGCCCGGCTGTACAGGGCCTCGGACTGAGCGGCGGCGGAGCGGGGCCTGGTCCGCGGCCGGGTGCGGGAGAACGCGGCGGCGCGTCCCTAGCGCTGCGCGCCATGGCGGGCGGACCCCCTAAGGCCCTGCCGTCCACCGGGCCTCATTCCCTGCGCGACATGCCGCACCCGCTGGCCGGCTCAAGCAGCGAGGAGGCCGTGGGCGGCGACAGTACGCCCAGCCCGGACCTGCTGATGGCCCGCAGCTTCGGTGACAAGGTGGGCGCTCGGGGCTGGGGACTTGGGCGCTCATTTCCCCTGGGGCGGGGCGGGCAGGATGGTGGACCCAGAGCCACCCCGGGCACCCAGCCTCGCCCACCCTGGCTCCTGCCCGGCGTACCGGCTCTGCCTCTAGAGCCCTCGGCAGGAGCGTGTCCTTTTTGCTGCCCCGCGGGGTCGCAGCTGCAGGAGGAGCGGCCGGAGGGGATGGGCTTCTCCGGCTGAGACCCGCCCCGAGCGCGGGTGACAGCTGGTGGGGAGGGGTCCTGTCCTGCTGCTGGGGCGGGAGGCGTGTGCTGCAGTGCTCAGCACCCCTGTCCCGGAAAGGGGGCGGGTGTCCAATGTTCCTCCAGGTGCATTCCTGCAACCGAGCTGCAGAATAACTTGTAGCGCCTCCAGTTTCCCGGGACTGCAAAGAAGCAAGAGTTAATGGTTAATGGCTTTCCGGGGTGGAACTGAGCTGCTTGGTCTTCTTTCCCCTGTCGGTCATGTGGGGAGTGATCTTTGTTTAGGTTTGCTGTTTGCCCTGAGGAGTCACCTGACTCAGACCTCTGTGGTGGCGGGAGGAGAGTCTCCCTGTGGTTTTTCTGTCTGGGGCTTCGTTCACCTATAGCGGACCACACAGTTTAAACCTAAACCAAACCTGGCCGAGGCTGGTTTTGTGGTTGAAGGAAAGAGCGCTCGCCCTTTGACCTTTTTTGTGCAGGTGGAGGCTCCTGATCTCAGAGCTGCCTGACCCTCCTGCTGCTTTGAGACACGTTGGAGTCCAGGGAGGGGGCAGAAGCGCATCTCCCCTGCCCCCATCTCCGGTTCAGCTGTGACCAGGATTTGAGCCACGGTGGTATGAGAGATCCTGCAGTCACTCAGTCTTGAGCTGTAGACATTCCAATTGTCCTTAGCACTTGTGATCAGGATTTATTCATCTTCCTACAATCCTAAACGAATTCCTCCTTTTCCCAATATTGATGGAATCAGGAGCCAACTTCTCCCCAGATATAGAAGGGTGTGTGATAGGGTAACAATGAGTTTGTGAGAGTATGGCTTGCAGACCATGTCAGAAGTCCCTGTGCACTCAGAATGGCTAGGGAATGGAGAGGATTTTTAAAGCAGTAGGAAGAAGATAATGCAAACTAATGAAACCAGTGGATTGAACAGCTCAAAATGTGTGTGCGCCTGCATGCATTGCCTGTACCACTGTGGTTATTGCTTTTTATTTTATAGATTTTTTTGTTTTTGAGACAGGGTCTCCCTGTAGCCCCAGCTGGCCTGGAACTCACTATGTAGACCATGCTGGCCTTGAACTCACAGAGATTGGCTTGCTTCTGCCTCCCGAGTGCTGGGATTAAAGTTGTGCACCACCATATTCAGGTATTTTATAGATTTTTTTAAATCTTTTTAAGACAGGGTCTCTCTATAGCCCCAGCTGTCCTGGAACTCACTATGTGGACCAGGCTGGCCTTGAACTCACAGAGATCCACCTGCCTCTGCCTCCCTGAGTGCTGGGATTAAAGGCGCGCGCCACCATGCCTGGTGTATTTTATGGATTTTTAACTATATGAAAACATGCAGTTTGCAAATCCCTTTCTTATATTTGACATTCAAAAAGTAATTGTTGAATGGCTGAATAAATAGTCGGTTGCTTTCTTATTAGCAGAGAAATTGATTTTAAATGGATGTAGAATGGGAACTAAAGTTAAACCTTCCATTGCTATCTCAATTCTGTGTAGCAAAGTGAATTAGTTACCTACTGCTGTGTAACAAATTGCTCTAGAATGGAGCAACTGAAAATAGTGTCTCTAGGTCAAGGAATTGGGGTGGTTCTGACACAGGCCTTTAGGAAGCTGCAGTCCTCTGAAGGCTGGATTGGGAGGGATTTGAGCTTGCTTTCATGTGGTTCTCCACAGGCTCTTCAACGAGGTGACTGGTTTCTGTGAGAGAAAGTGATCCAAGAAAAACCCAAGACTCCAGCCATCCCTATATGGCAAGTGCTCTATTACTGAGCTATAGGAGTGTTTTGCCTGCACGTATGTAAGTGCACCTGTGTTGTGCAATGCCTGCAGAGGCCAGAGAGTGTTGAATCTCCTGGAACTAGAATTATGGACATTGTTGGTCACTATGTGGGTCTTTTGCAAGAGCAGCCAGTGCTCTTAACCATCGAATCATCACTCTAGCCCCTCTTGGATAATTCTTGATTCAGAAGTGTAGCTGCTTTAGTAATAAGTATTTGGATGATAAATGCTTGGTACCACTAAGATCTAGTTGGTTGGCAGGAAGTGTGCCCATGTCTAATTTCTGTTGGTTTTCTCCGCAGGATCCATTCTTTGAGAGAGACAATCTTGAAGGCACTATTATTAATTATTGAACATTTAATAAGTCTCCTAACAGCTCTGGGGGAGTATCTAGATGGCACCAGTCTCAAGGGCCTGATTTATAGTAAGCCACTTTTCCTTAGAGACTGTGCATTGTAGTGCTTTCTCTGATTGGGAGTAACATTTTCTTGGGTTTTGGCATACATCTGTTCTCATAAAATATTTGAAAAGATTTGTTTTTATTTCTCTGTGTGAGTCTATGCCACATGTGTATGGGTGTTCCTGTAGGCCAGAAGAGGGTGTGGATCCCTTAAAGCTGGAGTGGTTGGTATAAGCCTCCTGATATAGGTGCTGGGAACCAAACTCCTGTCCTCTGAAGAGCAGGAAGTGCTCTTACCTGCTGAGCCATCTCTCTAGCCCCTCTCAATTTTTGTAGAGAGAAGCTAGCAAGCAGCAGATTGTGAGGACAGTGGAAGAAAACCTTTTGCCCCTCTTTACCTTGCCTCAGTGGCCTCAGTGTCACTGGAGGACAGGAGGTAAAGTCAGGTGCTTTGGTCTGTCTTTTGAGAAGAGACCTGTTTTCTTGCCTCTTTGGATATTGAGGTTTTCATCCCAGATGACAGGGATTGATTCAGGATTGGTTCTGGGTAAAGGGAATGAAGCTCTAAAAGACTGAAAATAGTACTAGGTTATTGCACAGAAGGGAATTGCTTTCTGTGACTCAGGATGGTGTCATCAACACCATCCTTGCATCATGGTCCAGCTGAGGTTTCGAAATGGCCTCTTTGGTGCTGGAGTGGGAAAGAACAAATGCATTAGATTCACTGTCCATCAGCTTCTCAAATCATTGAAACTGGTGAGGAAGAATTCTTCCTGCCTACCAGGGGCTAGAAGGGTTGGCTCTTCTATGCCATCCAAACCCACCAGGCCTTCTATTGCTTCATCTTTCCTCTTCATCTAAAATGTAAATAAACCATTTGAACTATTTTTTAACCTCTCTCTCTCTCTCTCTCTCTCTCTCTCTCTCTCTCTCTCTATCTATCTATATATATATATATGTATATAAAACCTGAGCAGTTTCTTCTGTGACTCAGCCTCCTACTTGTGTGCCCAGTCTGTGGTTAACATCTCCCCCCACATCCCCAGCCTCTTCAGCAAACTCTTCTACCTACTTCCTGCCCCCTTAGGTCACCTAGGCTTCCTCAAAGTCTTCAGAAGGGAGGTATCTTTTCTTCCTACATTCCATATGTCAGGAATGGAAATCAGATCCTCCCCTTTCATCCTTGATTTGTCTTTAAAAAAATTTTTATGTGCATGTGTGGTATTAGGTACATGTTTGTGTGTGCACGTATATGTGCAGAGGCCAGAGATCGACATCTTGTGTCTTCTTCAATCATGTTTCATCTTACATTTTGAGACAGGGTCTCTTGGTGAACCTAGAGCTTACCTGTTTGCTAGACTGGCTGACCAACCAGCCCCAAAGATTCTCCTTTCCTGCCCCTTTGCTTGTGTTGCAGACATGTATGAATGTATGTTTGTACCCAGTCTTTTTTTTTTGGTCTTTTTGAGGCAGGGTCTCCCTGTAGCTCCAGCCGGCCTGGAACTTGCTGTATAGACCAGGGTAGCCTTGATCTCACAGAGGTTCTGCCTCTGCCTCCTGGGTGCTAGGATTAAATGTGTATGTCACCATGCCTGGCAAGAACCCAGGATTATTGACTAAATCAGCAAAAGACCCCTGCCCTCATGAACAAGTATATGCTCGCTGTATTATGTGCTAGCAGATGCTTTGGAAGGAAGAAAGTAGAGTGGACAGGGACTTCAGGGTCACTGGCCATGGGGAGTGGGATTTGGGTAGGCCTTGCTGAGAATTTGAGACTTGAGCAGACTTGATTGAGGGAGGTAGCTGGTGGATGACTGCAGGTAAGTGTCAGGTGGAGAGCATAGCTGCGCAGAACACACACACCAGGTGAGGCCAGTGGCAGGGTCAGAGTGAGCAAAGAGGAGTCACAAGCTAAGGGAAGGGAGGAGACAAAATTGAGTTATCCTGGAAGGGCCCCTGGTGAGGACTTTAGTCTTTGAGTGCCATGGGGACATCTCCTCAAGAGAGCAGGAGGAGGGCAAGGCTGAACTGGGGCTAGAAAAGAGCACACCGACTGTTGAATTGAGAATTCCTTATTTGAACCACTGTATTAGGATTCTTGCACGTGTGTGTGTGTGTGTGTATATGTTTTATTTATTATTTTTATGTGTACGAGTGATTGCCTGCATGTATGTGAGCGTGTCCTGCAATGCCTTGGAGGTTAGATTCTCCTGGAACTAGAGTTAAGGATGGTTCGTAACTGCCATGTGGGTGCTGGGAATTGAACCCGGGTCCTCTGAAAGAGCAGTCAGTGCTCTTAACCACTGAGCCATCTCTCCAGATCCGTATTACTAATATTTTTTAAAGTCCCTCTGTGCTTAAGAAGGAAGGGATGTCTTCCAAAGTAAATTGGGCTGGGTGTGGTGGCACATGCCTTAAATTCCAGCACTTGGGAGGCAGAAGCAGGTGGAGCTCTGTGAGTTCCGGGCCAGTTGGGGCTACAGGGAGATCCAAAAAGAAAAAAGAAAAGTAAATTGGGACAGGGGAGTTAGCTCAGAGGAGCACTTACCTACCTTGCATGAGGTTTGCATCCCTACCTCCCCTCCCCCAGG